AGAACATATTTGGTAAATACAGTGATTCTAGAATAGAGTCTGTACTGGTAAACTGTTTTTCATCTGACAGTGTTGGTGATTATGTATGCTAACCTTTACACACACTTCTTACTTGTTCTGTTTGATTGCTTAGAAGACGATTTTCTAAATTGATTCTACCCCTTTAATTCTCTACGGATTACCTTGCTTTTATTGAGAATGAGACCATCTGGCTTAGCTTCTTCTGCCCTTTTTCTTTCAACAATCTCTGTAGCTTTACCCCTCATCCTTTCTTCTTATTGGTATAGGTTGTCCTTTAGATATATATAATTTTAAGAATAAGTCTTCTAAGTCAAACTGATCCCATTTCCTCCTGTCTCTGGCACCTTTCAGACTTTTCTCCTTTATATAGCCTATCCCCTGCCCAGTCTCATCCCTTCTGTCTACAGAGGTATCCTCAGTTCCTCCCTCTCCAAGCCATAGATTTTGTCTTTGCAATTCCTCTGTGTCGATCCCATTTTTTATATCCTGGTCGATTGAAGATGGACACATGAATCTCCCCTTAAACTTTTGAAGGAGATAGGTAAAAAGATGTAGATAACATTAGGAAGTTCCAATTACCACGTATGAATTGGGAGAGGGAGGTGAGACATGGGAGGCAGTTTGGTGGAAAACCTGAGTGGGATGTTATTAGAGGGGGACTAATGAAGCAAAAGAGCACAAAGGATTGGGGTAAAAATGAAGAGTGCAGACCTAATGAGAAAGGGTTATAGAAAATGTTAAAATAATTTAGATAATTATTAGATAAACTGGTGCTTTTTAAATAATGTCATTGGGAAATGATGAGAAGGAAGAGGGGCTTTGAGCTAGAAGTTTTGAGAAAATTACAGCAGTAAAATACAATAGGTGCAGTGTCGGGCTCTGACATGTGAGGAGTTGAAAGGATTAATTTGAGAAATGCATAAGAAGAGAAGATTTTGTTACACCTTGATGTAAGGAGAGAAGAGAGAGTAGGTTCCAGATGACTCTTAGATTTCGTACTTGGAAGAAAAGTAAGATGGTGGCGTTTTTCTTGGTGATCTAGAAGATGAATGGGCATAAAGCGATTCATTCTTTATTTGTATAAAATGACCTGGAACACCCACTGAAACAAATCCTGTATTTAATTTAATTCTGTGGTCATTAAGAGGTGCCTTCTTTTAAGAGACGGAACTGGTTGCCTAATAAAAAGCATGGGTGAATATATATATTCATAATAAACAGAAGGGCAGTGACATTTTATCAGGTAGCCTTGGAAAAACAGAGAGGTAAATATAAATATATTTAATCATCACCTTCATAGGGTATAAATTAATGCAATGAATAGAAATTGATTCCAAGATTAATAAACTTAACATTTTACTCAATATAATCCAACATAAGTGGTAGAAATGCTGTTTTCAATATGTAAAAGAATGGTACATATTACTTCATTAATCTCTGTTTTTCCTAGTTAATTTGTAGCTGTTGCTAACATGGGATTATCTGGGAATAATTCTGTTTTAAACTACTTAAAATATTACTGGTATGCTTTTGTATTTTCTTCCCCAGAATTGAATCATTAGGTTTTTTCTTTTTAGATATGCATGGGAGAAATTACTTCTTTCTAACAGTGCCATTAGAAAGTTCTCTGTGTGCTACTTGAATATTAACTATTTCAGTGCTGCCCCGATTATTGATTAGGTGATAAGAACAGAGATACAGTCATATGTAAACGTCCCTTTTGATTTTGTAAAAATGTAGATGTCTGGAATTTTTAAGTGATTTGAATTTTAATTAACATTTTTGGTTGATAGAGTTGAAAAATGTGTAGTAAAGGATCATGTCTATTAAACAGTCATTATCTATCTGTTCAGCAACATTTATTTGCATAACCAATTTATGTCAGGCACAGTTTTAGGCCCTGGGAATACAGGGATGAATAAATCTTCATGGAACTTATATTTTAGTGAAGAAGACAGGAAATGAACAAATCTGTAATGTGAAGAAGTGACAAGTACTTTGAAAAATTATCCCACAGAGTCAGGGGAGAGAGGGTGATTGGGGTAGGGCTTTTTAGATAGATTAGTGAGAGAAGGCTGTTCTGAGGGAAGCAGAAACTTGAATGAAGAAGAAAATTTTGCAAAAACTTATTCCAGGCAGAAGGAATACTAAATACAAAGACCATGAGTCAGGATCAGGTTCATTGAGAACCAGTTTGGTACGTTGGAGGAAAGCAAGAAGGCTGGTCTGACAAGAATGGTAGGAGTAGACGGGGAGGAGCTAGATAGGGGCCAGAGCATATTGGGCCTTACTTCCCACAGATTTTATTTTGAGTATAATTGGAGGCCATAGGAAAGTTTTGGGGCAGAGTTGTGACATGATCTGATTTACATATTACAAAGTTCATTCCAGCTACCGAGTGGAAAACTGACCACAGGAAAGGGAAGGTGTGAAGCATTGGACTATTTGGGAAGTTTTTGCATTGATGGAGGCCTGTGGATTCCAGTGTGCTCATGTTGATTCATTGTGGTGCAAGAAGAAACTGTTAGAGCTATATTTATATTTATTTTAAAAAATTAAGCTTTACTAATAATTTAATAAACATTGATACTGGCACCCACATTTTATTTGTATGTTAGTTACATGCCACTTACTTTTTTTTTTTAAAGATTTTTATTGCGGAATTGGGGGAAGGGGAACAGACAAGCTGCTGTCGTTTTGTTCTTCAGTCTAGTTGTGGAGGATGTTGCTTCACTGGCCCAAGTTGGCACCATCATTGCACTCTTCCTGGGCGAGGCAGATGAGTC